TCAACACATACATACACACACACACACACACACATATTTTTAAGCTATTTTGACATAATTTCACATTCACAGGAAAGTTGCAAACAAAAGGAATTACCATACCCTTTACCCTAATTCCTCAAATGTTAGTATTTTACATTTGCTTATAACTCATATATATATGTATATATATATGCATACACACACACATGCATATACATACATTTCTTTCTGATCATTTGGAGAGTAAGATGCAAACAGATGCCCCTTTACTTCTGAATACGCATGTATTTCAAAAACAAGGATATTTTCATATACTACTATAGTATATTTATAAAAATCAGGAAATTAGCATAGCTACTCTAAGTTAGCATGCAGACCTTAGTCAGCTTTTGCCAGTTGTCCTAATACTGTCCTTTAGAGGGAAAGAAAGAACCCAGATGCAAAGTTGAATTCAGTTGTAGGTTTCTTTAGGCTCCTTTAATTTGGAATATTTCCTCAGTTTTTCCTTGAGTTTCATGACCGCCAGCATTAGAACATTTGACTACCGTCAACCTGTATTATTATTATTATTTTTAAAAGATTTATTTATTTTAGAGAGAGAAAGCACATGGGGGAAGCGGGGGAGAGGGAGGAGTCATAAGCAGACTCTGAGCTGAGCGCAGAGCCTGACATGGGGCTCTATCTCACGACTCTCGAGATCAGGACCTGAGTTGAAACCGAGAGTCAGAGGCTTAACTGACTATGCCACCTAGGCGGCCCATATTATTATTTTTGTAATAACAGCTTTTTTGAGCTGTAATTCACACATTATACAGTGCTGTCATATAATGTGTGTAATTTAATGGTTTTTAATATATCCAGAATTCTGCCACAATCACCACAATCAATTGTAGAATTTTTTCATCCCTCCAAAAAGAAACTCAGCATTCCCTGGCAGTTTCTCTCATTTCTTTTACTGGCACCCATAGGCAGTCATGAATCTACTTTGTTGCTGGCCATTTCATATACACGGAATCATACAATATTTGACTTTTTTTGGTCTGGCTTCTTTCAATTAGCATACTGTTTTAGCATATAGTAGCCCCCCCTTATCTGTGAGTGATGTGTTCCAAGATCCCCAGTGCACACTAGAAACCGTGGATCGTCTGAGCCTTATATATACTGTGTTTTTTTTCCTATACGTATATACCTATGCTAAAGTTTAGTTTATAAATTGGTGAAGCAAGAGATTAACAATTACTACTAATAAAATAGAACAATTATAATGACGTACTATAGCAAGAGTATAATGCAAGGTATCGTATTACATAATGTAATATGTGATGTGGTCTGTTGCTCAAAATACCTTCATGTACTATAGTCATCCTACTGTACTCATCCTTCTTGTTGGGATGACGTGAGATGATAAAATGCCTACGTGAGGAGATGAAGTGAGGTGAGTGATGTAGGCATGTGACCCAGCCTTAGGTTCCTGTTGACCTTCTGAGGATATGTCAGAGGGAGGACCATCTGGTTCTGGACTGCAGGTAAATGGAACCGTGGATAAGGGGAGGACTACTGTATATCATGTTCCCTTTTATGGTGTAATGATATTTCGTTGTATGGATATAACACCTTTTGTTTCTTCATCAGTTGATGAGAAATGAGTAGGTTCCACCTTTTGCTTATTTTGAATAGTGCTGCTATGAACATTTGTGTATAAGGTTTTGTGTAGACATGTTTTTATTTCTCTTGGGTGTATACTTAGAACTGGAATTGCTGGATCATATTGTAACTCTGTTGAACTATTTGAGGCCCCACCAGACGACTTCCCAAAGCAACTCTACCATTTTACTACATTCCCACTAACAGTGTAGGATGGTTCCAGTTTCTCTGTATCTTTGCCTATGCTTGTTGTTGTCTGTCCTTTTGACTGTAGCCATCCTGGTGGGTATGAAGTAGTATATCATTATGGTAAAATATATATAACATAAAAGTTGCTACTTTGATTAATTTTAGGTGTGTGTCAGTGGCTTTAAGTGCTTTCACACTCTTGTGCAACCATCACCACCATTCACCTCCAGGATGTCTTCATTTTTAACAAACTGAAAATCTAGACCCATTAAACAATAGCTCCCTATTCCTCCATTGCGATTTTGATCTGCATTCCCTGGTTGGCTAATGATACCGAACAATTTTTTTTAATACGCTTATTAGCCATTTGTATATCTTCCTTGGCAAAGTGTCTATTCAGATAGACAGATGGACTTTGCCCATTTTAATTTCTTTTGACGATTTCATTTATTTGCTTATTTTAGAGACAGAGAGAGAGAACAGGAGAAGGGGCAGAGGGAGAGGCGGAGAGAGTCTCAAGCAGACTCTGTGCTGAGCCTGGATCCCGATGCGGGGCTCAATCCCACAACCCTGAGATCACGACCTGAGCCAAAATCAAGAGTTATATGCTTAACTGACTGAACCACCCAGGCGCCTCTGCCCATTTTAATTTTAATTTTTATTTTATCATTTTTTAAAATAGGCTCCATGCCTAGTATGGAGCCCAGTGCAGGGCTTGAACTCATAACCTTGAGATTAAGACCTGAGCTGAAATCAAGAGTTGGTCGCTTAACTGACTGAGCCACTCATTTTTGCCCATTTTTAAATGATTTGTCTTTTTATTGTTGAGTTGAGGGAGCTTCTATGTATTTTAGATACAAATCTGAATCATACCATGTTTATGATTTGCAAAAATGTTCTCCCATTTTCTGTGTTGTCTTGTTACTTTCTCAGTGATGTCCTTTGATGTATCAAGAGGTTTTAATTTTGATGGTGTTCAGTTTACCTTTTTCCTTTTGTTGTTCATGTTTTTGATGTAATATCTAAAACATTGCCATCTAACCTAGGGTTCACCTACATTTATGGCTGTTTTCTTCTAAGGATGTTATAGTTTTAGCTTACCCTCAACTTTGAAATTTTTTAACTGCTCCTCCTACAAGTAATTCTGACTCTTCTTTAAGAATACTGCTTTTTTCTCAATCCATGTGCTATAAACTGGATGCAGTGATCCCTTTGAGCTATTAGGTCTCCAGCTGCATAGGAACACTTTGATGTTTTCATTCCACCATTGGATTTTCTCATATTGTACTACTATTATTTTCCATCTTGTATCCCCAGCTGATATCTTGGTCATTCATCCCCATTCACTGGGAAATTTGGCCAAGTCTTCTTTCCTTGTCCCACCCATGTCTCCTTTCTACCCATCTGTCTGTAAGAGTAGTCTCTATTTGCTATATTTTCTTAGTTATGATTCATTACTTTGAACTCACTGCTTTCCCTAAGTTCATTGACTCCCTCATTGTTAAATCAGGCATATGTATTCCAGTCTTTATGTTAACTTACTATCTCTGTAGCATCTGACCCTATTGGGTACTTTCCTCCTCTTTGAACTCTGTTATTCTGGCTTTGATCATATTCTGTAAGGAAGCCACATGAATTCTCTTCATAAAACCAGAACCTAGTAGTTCCAGTGGCTCCAGTGAGGTAGGTTTGTTTGGGACCTAAGATCCAAAAGGGATTTACTTTGCCTTTGGCAATTTCTCAACAGTTAGTGTAACTACTGCCATTATGTTGGGATGAGTGGTCAGAGGCAGGGCCGAGTCCAAGTGTGTTCTCACAAGTCTTTCCTTGCTTCCCATAACACACTGAGGCCAAAAGAATATTTAAAAGAGATTTGCTACTGCACTTTTTAAAAGGTTCTTACTCAGTTGAATTCATTGCAGCATCATTATATAATAATGAAAGATTAAAAATAACATAAGGGTCCATTAGTTGGGGAATGGGTAAATGCATTATGGTGTATCTATACATGAGATATTAGGCAGCTACTAAAATAAATGAAGTAGACCTATATGTACTGATGATGTATAGAAAAAAAATAAAAAGGCAGATCTGTTATTTTCCCTCTCATCTGTCTACCTATTTATCTCGTAATTTGTAAGAAAAAAGGACAGAACAGAGCTATATATAAATGTTCTGCATTGGAAAATGTCTTGGTATCTACTTATTAAGCAATTATGAATGATATTATCTTAGGAGTGGAAATAGAGGATGTAACGTAATACGGGTTACTTTATTTCCTTTTTATATTTCTAATTTGAATTTTTTCAATGAGCATGTATTTCTCCTATAATAAAGCAATGATTTGAAGATTTTTAAGGCATAAGTAATATCAGCTTATGACTCATTGTGTTTTCACTTTCTCTCTTCTCTTAGCTTCTTGCACTACAGACTTTGCTTTTTTCATTTTCCTTCTACACCCTAGCCACTCTAACTTTGTCTCCTTAGTGGGCTTCTCCTGTCTTAATCTGGTTTATCCCTCAAGATTCACCTTTGGTTCCCTGAGAAGCATCCCTGTATCACTCAGTCACAATTTATTACCTTTCCTCTGTGTTCCCGTGGCACCCCGGGGACTCTCCCTTCGTCACTGGTGTCTAGGGTAGGAGCTGTTATTATTTGACTTTGTATCCCATCGACGTGAGCATAGTGCCCAGCACATGGTAGACATCCATTAAAAAGGGGCTTCCGTGTTAGAATAATAAAGCATAGAATTTGGGGTAAATCTCCTTAAAACCAGCGTGTCCTTTTCTGTAGGTTGGCATTTCGTGTCATTTTTCTTGAAGAATGAAAAGAAGAGAATGTGTGTGTGAAGAGGCATGTTTTAATTAAACGTCCGTTTATATCTCAGGATGTGTTGAGTTTATGTTGATAGGCTATGCTAACAGAACCCCAGGCAGTTTATTTAAATGTATTATGATCTCTTCAGTTATCATTGGAGGACAGGAGAGTGGTAATTTCATACTTCACTGTAACACAAAACATTAATACAGAATATTTTTTATACTATCTCTCAATGCATTAATTAAAGAAAACCTACATTCGTTTGCTTGGGAAATGTGATACACTGACTCAAGCAGAAGGGTAAACACAAATTAATGTTTCTTATCCATGTAAATTGCTTGTCTAACAATTTGTTTTCTTTTTAGGTTCAACAGATAGACCGAGTGGTAGAAGTTGTGGAGGAAACAATTAAAGGTAATTGTTGAAAGTGGGATAAGCAGATGTATACAGTGGTCCTCCCTTCCTTATCTACACTTTTGCTTTCTGGATACAGTTAGCCATAGTCAGCTGATGTCCAGAAGCAGATAATCCTCCTCCTACCTTATCGTCAGAAGGCCAATAGTGGCCTGAGCCTACATCACAATGCCTACCTTGGTCACCTCACTTCCCATCATATCATTCCAAGAAGGGTGAATACAGGACAGTAAGACACTATGAGAGAGAGACCCCATGCACGTAACTTTTATTGCAGTCTATAGTTGTAATTTTTCTAGTTTATTATTAGTTATTGCTATTAATCTCTTACTGGGCCTAATTTATAAATTAAACTTCATTGTAGCTATGTATGTATAGGGAAAAACACAATACAAATAGGGTTTGGTACTATCTGTGCATAGTTTCAGGCATCTCCTGGCGGTCTTGGACCGTATCCCCTGGCTGGTAAGAAGGGGGAAGTACTGTATTATTTGAACTATATTATAAAAATATCAGTTAACATTTATTTACATACAAAATTACAACATTTTGTCCTTGACTGATTCATGCATTGACCAATCCAATACAGGAGGCATATATTTAATTGACTTATAAATGAGTCAGGTCATAGTCCTTTTTTTTTTAATCTCATTTTTATATTTGCGTGAAATAGATTTTGAGTTTTGGATCAGGAAGACATAATTTAATCAGTTTTAAAATAAGGAAATGAGCGATGCCCTGGTAACTCAGCTGGTTAAGTGTCCGACTCTTTGTATTAGCTCAGGTCTTGATCTCATGGTTGTGAGTTTGAGCCTCTTGTTGGGTTGCAGCTGACATTAAATAAATAAATAAATAAATAAGTGGAAATGATTATATTTATGTGGGTTTTTTTGCAACTTTATTGAGATACAGTTGACATTATGTGCATGTTTTTTAATCACCTAATTAGTTGCAGTTACCCTTTTTAAAAGTACTTTTTAAAAATAATTTTTTTTAAGTAATCTGTATACCCAGCATGGGGCTCAAACTCACAACCCTGAGATCAAGAGTTGCATGCTTTTCCGACTGAGTCACTCAGGTGCCCCTACAAATACTTTTAAAAGTAGTATTCAGTTTTGATATTCTACTGAATATAATTTTTGTAGTTACACTAGAAAATAGAACTATGTTTCATTAGCCATGGTTCTTCGAACCAGATTCTTATTGAAGTCACTGAGAAATAAATTATCCTCAGTTCTGTGGTTTAATTTTTAAATACTCATAGTCCATTTTCCTCTGTTAGATTAGTACAAATAAAAACCAGTAATGCAATTTTACATGAATTGAGCTTCTCACTTAAAATTTTAATTGTTTTGTTGTAAGTGGGAATTGTGTGTTTTAAAAAAAGAAAACGGACTGCTGTCACCACGTTGAGATTTTTTTTTTTTTAAAGATTTTATTTATTTATTTGACAGAGAGAGACACAGCGAGAGAGGGAACACAAGCAGGGGGAGTGGGAGAGGGAGAAGCAGGCTTCCCATGGAGCAGGGAGCCCAACATGGGGCTTGATCTCAGGACCCTGGGATCATGACCTGAGCCGAAGGCAGACGCTTAACGACTGAGCCACCCAGGCGCCCTCCCACGTTGAGATTTTAACCATGCACTTTTCCTGCTAGCTTGTGTCTGCCACCTTCCACATGCTCTTCATTTATTTTGATTCCTTGATTTATTGGATGACCATAGAACGTGAGAATTAGCCTGTACCTTAATCTTCTTTGAAATTTCAAAATGAGATGATATACAATGATTAAAAATGTAAAGCAGTGATCATTTTGAATAGTTTGTTAAACCGTGCACCTGAGTCCCCATCTGGGAGAGTGTACAAGTGTGGCGTTTCTTGTGCAGTCCTGGTGTGATAGGGCGTGATGCCGAGCCTTTTCACCAGGATTACATCGTTTAGTCTTCACAGCAGCACTGTGAAGTGAAGTGGGTGTAAATAGTTTCCTCATGTTCCAGACAAGGAAGCTGAGACACCGGGGCGCATGGCTAGTGAGTGGCAGGGTTGGGACTGGCATCCAGGCAGGCCTGCTCCCAGGCCTGTGCTCATGAGTCTGATGCCACATTCATGCAGCTGTACCATGACTTCTCTCATCTCTCCCACCCGAGAGTCACTGTGTTAGTGGGTGACTGAGTTTCTGGAAGTAGTGCTTCAGGATGCTTGAGGGTTTTGCTGCCTTATTCATCTTCCGTCTTAAGGACCAGCCCCATGATGGCCCCTCAGTATGTCCATATATAGTCAATTAATGGTGATGAAGTTAGCACTGGAGACAATCTAGGCGATCTGGGGTATGGTGGGATGACTTTTTAGAGGCAACACTAAAGGCTTGATCTATAAAAGAGATAATCGACAAGATGGACTTACTAAAATTAAAAACTTCTCCTCTGCAAAAGACACTGTCAAGAGAGTGAGAAGACAAGCCACCGACTGGGAGAAAATGTTGGCAAAAGATGTATCTGATGAAGGACCATTATCCAAAATATATAAAGAACTCTTAAAACTTAACAATAAGAAAATAAATAACCCAATTAAAAAATGGACCAAATACCTCATCAGACACCTCACCAAAGAAGATACATAGATAGAAAATAAGCATATGAAAAGATGCTCCACCTCATATGTCATCAAGGAAATGCAATTAAAACAAGATACCACTACACACTTATTTGTATGGCTAAAATCTGGATCACTGACAACCCCAAATGCTGGTGAGGGTATGGAGTAACAGGAACTCTCATTCATTGCTGGTAGTAGTTCAAAATGGTACAGCCATTTTGGAAAACAGTTTGGCAGTTTCTTACAGGACTAATATACTTTTACCATATGATCCAGCAACCATGCTCCTTGGCATATACCCAGGGGAGTTGGAAATTTGTGTCCGCACAAAAACCTGCACACGGATGTTTATTCAATAATTGCCAAAAGTTGGAAGCAACCAAGATGTCCTTCAGTAGGTGAATGGATAAACTGTGGAACAATGGAATATTCAGTGCTAAAAAGAAATGAGCTATCAGGTCATGAGAAGACATAAAGGAAACTTAAGTGCACATTACTAAGTGAAAGAAGCCAATCAGAAATGGCTACACACTGTGTGATTCCAACTCTCTGACTTCTGCAAAAGGCAAAGCCAGTAAAAGGATCAGTGTTGCCAGTGTTGGGGCAGTGGGAGAAAGATGAATAGGCAGAGTACAAAGGAATGTTTTAGGGCAGTGATAGTATTTTATATGATACTGTAATTGTGGATACATGTCCTTATATATTTTCCCAAACGCATAGAATGTTCAACACCATAAGTGAATTGTAATGTGGTCTTTCGGTGATTGTGATGTGTCAGCGTAGGTTCATTGATGTAACAAATGTACCACTCTGGCGGAGGATGTTGATAATAGGGACAACTGGGGGGGTGGGGGGGGAATATGGAAACTCTGTACTTTTCTGCTCAATTTTGCTGTGAACCTAAAACTGATCTAAAAAATAAAGTCTAATAAAAAACAGTGAAGTTGTTTTTGGCAGTCTGAAGGCTGCCAAATGGCTTGCAGAGATATAATTTCTATAGGAAATCATAGAAGGTAAAGGTAAACTATGTTTTTCTGTACTGACGATGCTTCTGGCACCAAATGTGTATGTTTTCTATACCAAGCAATTTTTAAAATTTAAATATCACAAATAAGATTTTTTATTTGTCACCATTAAATGTGTGAATTTTAAACAGATTCTTGGACTAGTAGCTCATACCCATCAGTTTGTTCAACTTTACACTGGTCTCATCCCCAGTAGCATTTCCAGATCTGCTACCTTCACCATGAAGCTTCATGAACATTCCTTTCCCAGTTCAAACCTGGGATTCTTCAGCATTTTTACTCTTCTAACAAAGACATCATGGAGTGGATAAATAGATGGGCAGGCCTTTTCTATGTCTTTTCCGATGTTGCCTGGAATCAGTTTATTGACCACTCCTTTCAAGTCATTTGTCTGCACGTCTCAGGTCATGATTTCCATCATCTTTTTCTGAATTTGGCGGACCTGTTGGTGCTGCATTTTTAAGTAAAATCATCACAAAATAGATGAAGCAAATAACCATCAGTAGTTTTGACATCAACCTGAGCTTCAATCCAGGTCTGTCATTTTTTGACCATGGAACACATTTTGTCCCTGGTAAGATCCATGCCATGCTAATTCGTCAGGCAGGTTTTGCCCTGAATGTCCTCAGCAATTAGCTTGAATTTTCTAAATGCAACTTCTTCATTGTGCAGATCAGCAAGGCTCACTTCAAAAACACAACGCTTGAGGCCAACAGATGCACTTTTGCTTCCTTGAGTTCTCGTGACTAGTGTTTTTTCCAGTATTTCTTATACTGAACATAGCTGGTGCTTTCACATCAATACCAGTCTTTCTTAGAAAATGGATCAACCACTTTCTTCTTGCCTCCCTTTTTGCTGCCTTTCATGAGGTGTTTGTTCTTCCCACTTGCCGTGGTGCTGCTCAGGAAGCCAAAGGGGCTATCCCAAGCAATTCTGACCTTAACTGTCTGGAGTTACTGTGGACCTCACTGGTTGAAGGCTCAGTTCCATTTGACTACCTACCACTTCAGATGCCAATTGCAAGTCCAGATTGTCACCTGTACTTCTGACAGACCAACTATAAATTGGGTTCTCATGACCCCCTTCTTAGGTTTGATAATTTGCTAGAGTAGCTCGTCGAACTCAGGAAAAGTGGAACTGGAAGAAATGCACGGGGCAAGCTATGTGGTAATGGAAATGGAGCTTCCATACCCTTTCTGGGTATGCTACCCTCCCCGCACCTTAGTATGTTCACCAACCTGGAAGCTTCCCAAACCCCATCTTTAGGGTTTTTTTATGGAGTCTACATTACATAGGCATGAGTGATGAAATCATTGACCATTGGTGATTGAACTCCCAAAGGTTGGGGTTGGGGCTGAAAGATCCAACCCTCCAATGACATT